AAGGAATGAAGATAGAATCAAGGAAATAGTAAATTTTAAAAACCTAAATTTTAGAATTGAGGAAAAAATTACTTTCTAGAAGTCAACAGATTAGCTAAGAATACTTAAACTGCCTTTTATCACAAGATCAGATGCCCTTTACTTTTTTTTTTTCTGTCCCATTTTCTTCTTTAAAAAAACTTCACCATGTGTTGGACTTGACAATGACATCTACAGACATCACAGTGCTATGTGTCATAACAGATAAACCTTAAATCTCAGTGGCTTAAAAATGGAAGTTATCCCTCAATCAAGTCTAAAATGATTGGGACCAGCTTTCATAGACTTTCAAAAGCCTGGGCTCCTTTAATTTTATGGTCCTATCCTTCCCTAAAGCCTTGGAATTCTCTCCATTCAGCTGGCAGATAGAGCTCCATTCAGGGGCCACATAGAGGTACAGAGAGATTTTTATGGACCAGGGCCACAAGCGGAGGACATCACTTTGATTATATTCCAGGAGTTAGCGCTCAGTCACACGACCCCACCTAACTGCAGGGGAGACTGGGCAATAGGGTCCAGCTGTGGCTCTGATAGAGGAAAACGGGTTTAGTGAATAACTGGTCTGCCTCTGCCACAAACTCCAAGTTATTCCAATGACAGATCATCACGATGCAGAGCACTATATGTAGCCCCCTCCTTACTTTCTTGCTTATCCTTGCAATAATCTGATGGAACTGGGTGTTAGTATAGTATGTCCAATTTAGTAAGGTCACATAGCTCTGAACAACAGTGCAAGATTTCTACCCCATTCTGACTCCAAAGCTCGCCATATGTACTATGCAGTATTTCAATTAAATCATGATGTTTGAGTGAGATTATAACCTGACTGAATCGTGATTAAATTTAAAAGATCATGTAACTGCCACATCATCAGTAGAGTCCATCCTTTGAGATGTTTTTCCGGTTGGAATGATGGATTTATGCTAATTCACCTAAACTCTCCCCCCCTTTTTAATTGTTAACAGTATTACAGATGCTCCCCATTCCCATTTTTAATGTGTAGCACAGATCTGATCACTGCAGTCCCTGGTACAGAAATGGAATGACACACAATGTCTCATCATTTGTCTCATTAGTGCTAACAGACTAAAATTTGCATTTCCAGAGTGAACATCTTTTTACCTCACACTTTGAAAATACATTTTAAGTATAGTTTCATTTTATCTTCACAACCGTGTGAAAGGTAGATATCCAATAAATCCACTTACAAATGAATAATAGCTAAGTTCCTTTGTGCAAAGAATGGTGCTAAGCATTACATATATATCTACATATTATATATAGACATATAATAAAGTAATATGCGTGTTTATATAACTTCATTCAACATCATTTAATGAGCTGTGTTTTAATTACCAATATTTTATTTCTGTGGAAACCAAGGCACAAGTTAAGCAACTTGTCTACGGCACCACAGATGAGCAGTGGAGAAAATAAAACAGGGCAGGCTACTAGCGGACATCTGTAATTTTCCCAAAGTTGACCTGGCTGGTGTGATGGTTAGAGCGTCATCCCGTGCACCCAAGGGTTTCGGGTTCCATTCCTGCTCAGGACACACACCCAAGTTATGGGTTCGATCCCCAGTCTGGGAGATCCCCCATTCGGGCACATACAGGAAGCAACTGATTGATGTTTCTCTCTCTCCCCCTCTCCTTTCCTCTTTCTCTAGAATCAATGAAAAAAAGATTCACAGGAGAGGATTAAAAGTATAAATGTTCCCAAAGTTCAAGTTCATAGGCTCTACTTATTCTTGGCTTTGCCATTATCCTTGTCATATATTATTCCACTTCCTCAAAATACTTACCACTTGGGGCTCTCATGAGTCTCTATTTTTGCTACTTGGCAACTTCATTCATTACACCTTTATTTCACGAATACGTTGATTCGAGAAAGTAAAACCTAATAGCTCCTATTGTTTCACTAAAAAATGCCTTGCTATTGAAAGCATGTAGAGGGAAAAAAACCCAACAACAAACCTAATTTAGCTGTTCCCTATGGTAAATCCACAACTTATGGTGAAAAATCCCTTCACTTCCTCCAAAACAAAAGGCATCTATCCTATCCGTTCACACATTTGGTATTAAAGAAACGTCAATTTCTGTTCTAAGAAAGATTTAACTTAGCATCTTCTGTCAAATTATTGGTGCCTAGCACAAAACTGGAGACGACTTTTAAAAAAAGACAGTCTTTGAAATATTAGTCATTGTAAGTGACTCACTCTCTAAAAGAAATTACTTGGGAGTCAAAGAAAGGTGATTTTACCGTCTCAGAAATTAAACCCTGATCGATTCGTTCATCCACTGGGTCTACTATGAACGCGCTGTGGAAACTTAGGGGGGGAAATAAAAAACACTGAACTTGAACCGGGCCCTGGAAACGTTCTTCCTGGTTTAGACTTTACCACCTAAATGCCAGCTGGAACTTCAGGCAGAACGGCATTTGTACAACAGTCTCGTGGCACCAAACGCCACAGACCAGGTGCTAGAAGACTGAGGGGTCATCTCGCGTCCTCTGCGGAGCCCGAGGCCCAAAGCGGGCCCCTGGCAGGCGCTCAACGAAGGTGTCAGAAAACTCCGCGAGGCCCAGATGGAACTGACCCGAGGGCAGCAGGGGGGCGCCGCGTCCTCCCACCGCGGCCCAGAAACTCCCGGGGACTGCCGCAGCCGCCTTTGCAGGGCACCCGCGCACTAACCCGTTCTTAGCTCCGGCAGGCTGAGAGCGAGCGCGGCAGGGCCCTTCCGCCCCGCGGGCGCGGCTCCTGAACTTCCCCGAGCGGCCTGGGCGGGGCCGGTTAGGTCGGCGGGTCGGCGCGGCACCTGCAACTTCCGGCCGCTTCCCTCTTCCTGGGTCCGCGTCCC